ATGTCATAGCGCCCACCAAGCACCTGCCCGTCTGCTAAGCCCTGGGCGTGTAGCGTGAGCCGTAAGATGTCTGTGGTTCCTGTCCTCTTAGTGTTTATGAGCTGATGGGAATGAATGTTTTGAAAGTAAACAAACATTTTTAAAAAATGGTTTAAACAACCGGACTAATGATGCCTGGGCAATCTGGGAAGGCTTCTTGGAGGAGGCAGCATTTTCTTCGGCTCCGGAGAATGGCCAGGTCATGTTCACAGGTGGTACAGAGCTGTGACTATGAGGTGGGCTCTGGAGCAAAACCAACCAGGTTTAAGTTCCTGCTCCTCTTACTGGCCATGTGACTTTAAGCACCAAGTGGGCCTCAGTTTCCCCATCTTTCATGTGAGGTTAATACGAGGAGGCTGTGGGGCCCAAGTGAGCTAATAGTTCATGCATAGCTCTTAGAACAGTGTCCAGCACATTGTCTACACTTGATACACAAACCAGAGGAGACCAAGGCTGTGTATGGCACCCAGGACTTACTGTGGAGACAGGTTTCTGGGGCTCCTGGCCCCAGCTCTCTCTAACTGACAAGGTCAGAAGTGTGTCAGAGCTGTCCCAGGGTTGTAGATTTTTCAGGGATGTGGCCTTACATGCAGAATGACAATGACAACACCTGGCCTTTATTGAGCACTTACTTTGTGCTAAACGCTCAACCTGGATCAGCTCACTTTAACACATAACAACCCCACAAAGTGTAGGCGCTACTGGTATCTTGTGTTCCACATGAAGAACCTGTGGCTCAGAGAGGTGTGTTCAGTTGCCCAAGATCACACAGCTTGTAAGCGACAGAACTGGGACTGGATCTGGTTTGTTACTGGATTTGATCCTGAGCTGGGCCAGGTCCTGTCTGTTACCAAACCAAAACTGGGGTCTGCTCACTTGTGTGCAGTAAAGCCAATCTACTGACACCATGTTGTGGTGAAGGAAAGTGCAGCGTTTGTTGCAGGGCGCCAGACAAGGAGTCTAGGACAGCTAGTGCTCAAAAAGCCCAGACTCTCCGATGAGTTTTAACAAAGCAGTTTTAAACGCCAGGTGAGGGAGGGGAGTTCCAGGGACTGTGATCAGCTCGTGCACAATTCTCTGATTGGTTGATGGTGAGGTAACAGGGTGGCATCACAGTGGTTAACATTATCAATCCTCATGCATCAGGTCTGGGGTCATCAAGTAGTTAATTTCTTCCATCTGGTGGGGGGGGTTAGCATCTGTAAAACAACTCAGGAAATGTGCATCAGATACTGTTATCTAGGTACTTCAGGGAGGAGCTAAGGCAGAGGATATGGGGGAGGGGTCTGTCCTGGGAAGGCCCCACAGGGTCCTGCTGGGTTACATGTCCAGTGCAGCAGGACTCAGACCTGTGCTGCGATCTGGGGGGACACTTGGGCCCCCGCTGGATCCCCTCTCTCTCGAGGCTGCTCAACCCACACCCTGAGACGCTCAGTCTTTTGGATCCAGAGATTTCAAGCTCTTGAACGCTGGGACTCCTGGGATTCAGGATTCCAAATGGGAGGTCCCAAGCTTCTTGAGTCCTACAAGCACCTTTCCTGAGTGGTCCAGGGAAGCCATGTGGCGCGGTCTCCGGAGCTGGGGTGTGGCCCCTGGCAGCTCGCTCCTCCACACAGCCTGGGTGGGGCTTGGGGCAGAAGCACCCTGGTTTCGGGTGAAGACGAAACGGGCAGTGTCTGACCTCCTCCGTTAAGCAAGCAACAAGAAAAATAGGGTGTGGCATCTCCTTGCCCCTCTCTCTGAGCCCTGCCCACCCCACTCCTGTGGTAAGTGACTGTTTTCCTGCCATCAGAGGAGAGAAGAGGTGAAAGGTGGGGCCTGAAGGAAGTGACCTCACTGCCCTGAGCCTTGCTTCCCTAATCTGTGTAACGGGAACCATAGCAGCCAGTGCTGGAGTGAAGATGAATGAGGCCCCCAGATGACGAGTTACTGAAATGATCCATCCGCAGTGGGGGTTTTATGATGCATCATAAGTGTGTTTTAGCAAAGATTAAAGTTATTATCCTACCTGCCATACACAGTGCTTACGCTCTGCTCCTCTCCTCGTTAACTGCATGGCTCTTTGGAGCCACAGAGCCTCTGGGAGCCATGTGGGTTTCAGTCACATGGGCTGAAGCCTGCCCAGCCATGGTCTGGCTAGAGGCTGCTGTGTCCCTGGTCCCTTCCCCTTGAAGCCCACAGTATGGCAGGTACTAGGCACCTGGATTGCCTGAGACTGACTGGGACGAGGGATTTTCAGTGCTAACACTGCAGATGTCTGGGATAAGCTGGTCGCCTTAGACAGGCCCAGGCAGGGAGATGCTGGTTTTCCCAGTGCTCGCCGTTGCATCCCAAACAGGCGGGGAGGTCTCTGCTCTCACACAGGTCTTTGCAGCTTCCCTAACTGCTTCCCTAATGTAGGGAGGTAGGGAGGTTGCCATCTCTGTACTCTCCTTGAGTTGGAGGGCCCCTCTCCTCTGCTCCTCTGTCCAAGCATCAGGGGATCTTCCCTGCAGCATCTCATTCCATTCTCATCTTTGAGACAGTATCGCCCATTTTACAGATGAGGAAACTGAGGCTCACACTTGGTGAAGCGATCTGCTCAGGTTACACAGCGGCTAAGTGGTCTCTCCTCCACCCCAGGCAGCCTCTGTGTGCAGAGAACTGCCCAAGTGGGGGTGGTGGGTGTGAGTCTTCATAGTTACGAAATATGTCCCAGAGCTGGTGGCTTATTCCTAAAGTCCCCCACCTGCAGGAAAGTAGGGCTAAGGTTAGGCCATATTCTCTTCCCCCAAGAAGGAACTTGACCCCCTGTGCAAAACAGTCTGCCTCCCAAAGGCAAGTTCAGAGGCAAAGAGTGTGTGCGCGTGTGTGTGTGCGTGTGTGTGTGTAAAACACACTTATTAAGCACCTACTGTGAGTCTAGAACCTTTGAATCCCTCATCTCATTGCATTCTCCCAAAAGCCCTGTGAGATGGGTAGTGTTTGTTGTTCCCATTTTACAGATAAAACTGAGGCTCAGAAAGGTAAAGATCTGGGTCAAAGTCATTCCTCTTGTAATGGACAGAGCTGGGACTTGAACATCATTTTGTTAGACCCCACAATCTGTGCCCTCAATCTTGTGCCCTTCATAGCACCCAGTACAGAGGGGGCTGACCTTTCTGGGTGATATGGCCTTCAAGGTCCTCCTTATTCTTACTTTGCCCTCCATTCCCCAGCTGGGTCCCCAATAGCAGCCACAAACCCATCAAGCTAAGCTGTTTTCCAAGCCTTTGCTCCTTCTGCCCCTCCAACTAGGTCAGGTCTCTCCACAAAGCCTTCCTGAGTCCTCCCTGGCTTCGAATCTGATCTCTGCCACTCGGCAGCTGTGTGGCTTTGGGCAAGTTGCTCTACCTCTCTGAGCCTCATCCCTCCTCAGTAAAGTGAGGACAACTGTGAGAGCCAGATGTGTCTGGTGCAAATATCATCAAGTTTGGTTTAAGAAATTATTTTAAGATAAAATCAGGCTGGCATTTTAGAAACCATCTTAATTCTAACTAACATGTGAGAGGTTGGATTGAGCCTAGAAGCTGAGGGATCCATGAGTGAGTTATAGTCACTCAAAGAATGATGAACAATTGCTCTCTGCCCCGAATTACATGAAGTGCAAGGAAAGGTATTGAATAAATGGAAAAGAATTTGAAAAAGAATAGATATATGTATCAATATATGTATACCTGAATCACCTTGCTGTACACCTGAAACTAACACAACATTTAAATCAACTATACTCCAATTAAAAAAACAAACAAGGAAAGATACTGGAAATTATCCAGGCTCTGCCCCAGACACTGTGCCTGGGACTGCATATTGCTGAAGGGTGCTCTGTCAGGGAATCGAGTGATATATGAATCCTGCCCCAGAACACAGCTGTTGGTCACCACAGGAGTCTCAGCTGCAAGACTTTGAATCCCACAGATACCAACCAGTGCCAGGGGGAGCGTAAGGGGAGAGAGGGAAATCCAGAGGGCATGAGCGTTCACAAGGCCAAGTAGAAAGATCAATGAGATGTCCAAAGGGAAAGGCACTGCCCTTTCTGGCTACCTGTTCGGGAGGCTGAGGGGTGATACCAGGATGGACAGTGGCCCTTCCTACTCACAGGCAAATGAGATGACTGTCAACTCGCTGAGGACAGCCTCTTCAGAAAAGATTTGAGTTTATCTCCTGGCCCCAGATAGAGCAGTTGATGGCTCTGGGCCCTTGAGGACTCATGGGATAGATTTACTGAAAGAACTGAAGTTGCTGCCCTTTGTGGGAGCTGGAGATGGGAGCAAAGTGCTAAGGGCTTTGCAGGTATCACCTCATGTTATCCTCACAATAGTCTCCGGATAGGTGCTGTCATCCCCATCATGTAAGTGAGGACCCGGCCAAAGGGAACTGGGCCAAGCCAAGACATCAATAAAGGATGAGAAAACTGAGAATCTGAGGGACAGGACAGGGCTGTGTGGGATGGGAGCCAAGATAAGGGAAAGTGGAACAGAACGATGTGGAGAGAGGAGTCAGGATCGGACTCTGAGAAGCCTCAAAGGACCAAATGAACAGCTTTATCCTGCAAACCTGCAGCCACCAAACTTGCTCATGGACCCCATCAGTGGGCGATATAGGAACATTGATCTATTTATTAATTGTATACAAGTACCACTGCACTCATAATATATTATAATGTATACAAAAATAGAAATTAAGAAGTGACATAAAAGTTAATATAACTAGAAGATCTAATATTATCTTTCTGCACCCCAGTAGATTGTCTTGCCCACAAATAAAAAGTTTTAATAAAAAAGAATAAGGAGGCAAACACATTTCTATGCACCATGTAGAGGGAGTTGAAGGGCTACCCCCCAGACGGATTCGTTGATGTTGATAAGTAATAATAGCTGCTATTTGCTGAGGGTCTTCTGTGCACCAGGCATGTGCTGGATCACAAGGATGCCCCAGGCCAGATGAGCTCCCAGCTGTGGCCATCGAGGGTGCTTGGCAGGTCCAGGGGTACAGCTATCCTGACATCCCTCTGTCCGTATCCCCCTCCAGGTGCCATGTTTCTGAAACTCCTACTGCTCCTGGCCCTGCTGGGCCCTGGCAGCAGCCTCCAGCTGTGGGAGACCTGGGAGGATGGAGCCGAGGAGGCCCCAGGCCCCCTGCTTGTCCGTGGCCGGAGAGAAGTGGATGAGGACGACGCCGACATATATGACTATGACGTACAGACGGACCCTCCAGAAATGCTTAACTATAGCACCGAGGCTCCCAAGCTTCTGCCTGTGATGGGAGCATTGGAGCAGAGAGAGTCTGCAGGGCCTTTAACACCTGAGCCAACCACTCTGGAGGTGGCCACAAGGGACCCTCCTGTCCTGGATGCAGGAGGGGCAGCCACTGGGAATCTGAGCATGGAACTGGTCATACTGGTCACTCTGACCAAAGAACCAGTCACTGTGATCCCTCCCATCATGGAGGATCCATCCACAGAATCAGCTGCAGTGGAGGCCCTGTCCACAGGGCCAGCAGGCAGAGTGGCACTGGCCACAGAACCTGCAGCCACAGAGGCTGTGTCCACAGAGACCCTGCCCACGGAGCCAGCAAGCACAATGGCACCGGCCACAGAACACACAGCCACGGAGGCCCTGCCCACAGGGGCCCTGTCCATGGAGGCCCTGTCCACTGCCGTGGGGGCCCTGTCCATGGAGGCCCTGTCCACAGAACCCACTGCCACAGAGGCCTTGTCCACAGAATCCACTGCCACGGAGGCCCTGTCCACAGAACCCACTGCCGCAGAGGCCCTGTTCATGGGACCCACAGTCATAGAGGCTCTGTCCACGGAACTGGCCACCACAGCAGTTCTTTCCATGGATCCCACTACCACAGGGGCCCTGCCCACAGATCCAGCCACTGTGAAGACCCTGCCCACAAGACCTACTACCACAAGGGGCCTAACCACAGCCCTCGCTGTGCCCTCTGACCCTCCCAAGAGCACCACTGTGGCAGTTGGCACTTCATCTGATAACTTGATCTACAAATGGAAAAATGGTCAGAGTCTTTTCCCCCGGAACTCTGTGGCCCCAAGCCCCACAGAGGGCCTGCTTGACCCCAGCTCGGTGAAGCAGTGTCTGCTGGCCATCCTCATCCTTGCCCTGGTGGCCACCATCTTCCTCATATGCACCGTGGTGCTGGCCATCCGCCTGTCCCGCAAGAACCACCTGTACCCCGTGCGCAATTACTCCCCCACCGAGATGGTCTGCATCTCGTCCCTGCTGCCCGAGGGGGGTGAGGGGCCAGCTGCCATGGCCAACGGGGGCCTGCCCAAGGCCAAGAGCCAGGGCCTGAAGGCGGGGTCTGGGGAGGACCGCGAGGGGGATGACCTCACCCTGCACAGCTTCCTCCCTTAGCTCCCGGCCCAGCTGCCTGAGCAGGACCAGCCCCCCAAGCGGCCTCCGCAGCCTGCTGGGCCACCACCCATACCCAGGCTCTATGCCATGGGTTCGGGCTTCCTTGGAGCCCCCTGGGGATGGGAATGTTTAGGGTGGGAACCCTGGCCGCCCTACATGGGACTGAGAGCAGCCAAGGTCCAGGCACCAAAGCAGGCCTGGCAAACGGAGCCGCCAGTGGAGGCTGGAGAGGCCGCCTCCACCTCCCTGCCTCCCATGTGTTTTTTTTTTTTTCTCTCCCTTGTGTTCTTGGCCCCCTCTAATGCCTCCCACGGCTGCTGGAATCTCATCCCCATGTGCCCAGGAGGACTCAGGGTTCCCTGCCCACACCCCCACTGCCACTTTCTTCTGGTGGCCATGGTCACTGCACAGGAAGGGGGCACTTTTGTGGGGGAGTACACCATTCCTGAGGTCATTTCCTGTCACTCCCCGTTTGGGGTATCTCTCCCAGGAGCCCAGGGTGAGGGCTGGGCATGTGACGGCTGGGCAGGCTTGGAAAGCCCAAGGCTACAGGCTTCTTTGGGACTTTTTGGACCAATGAACTTCCATCTGGTGACAGAGTGACCCCCGTCCCACCTTCCCTCGCCTCCCCTTGTGGCCTTGTTTTAGGGTGGGCTCTGTCTTGTTCACCGAAGTCTCCCAGGGCCCAGCTCGGGGCCCGGGAGAGCACAGACACTCAGTAAATGTTTGGTAAACAAGCGATGGCTGAACGAATGCTTCAAGGTACCAAGGTGCCTCCTTCAGGTGGGGAGTTGGTCCTTTGCTGTTCACGCCCAGCCCCAGGCCCCTCAGGAAGACCCCTGCACGGGCTGTTGCGGTTACTTCAGGGGGCATCTTGCTGTACCCTTGGGCAGCTGGGAGGCGGGGTTCAGGCTGTTGGAGGACAAAGGGTGCTGGCCTCGGGAACCACTTTATTCAGCACCTCCCGTGACCCAGTTCAAGCCTACAGAATTTGGTTCCCCCGCCAAATCTCAGCCAGATACCCCTCTAAACATCAATGCCATCCTCCGCAGAAGCCCACCCTGACCCCTCTGTTCCACATGGGGCCCATCTCCCGTAAACACCCAGTGGCCCCTCCTCACAGGGGGAGCCTGGCTACACCCTACAAGGCCTTCCTACAACTGACCACCTGTCATGTAGAGTTGGGGGCCAGTAAACTTTTTCTTAAAGGGCCAGACCATAAATATCTCAGGTTTGGCAGGCTGCGTGGTCTCTGTTGCAACTTCTCGACTCTTGTCATCATGGCATGAATGCAGCGATTGACTCTGTGTAATAAATGAGTGGGTTTGGCTGAATTCTATTGGAACTTTGTTTACAAACAGGCAGCAGGCTGGGTTAGGCTCTATAAGTTAGCTTGTCCCCGACTTAAGTGTAGAGTGACCAGATGTCCCGGTTTGTTTGAGACTGCCCTGATTTTAGCACTGAAAGTCCTATATCATGGAATATAAGACTTTCACCTCCAGCAATCAGGACAGTGGGTGGCCCTATTTAAGCACTGAAACCCCACGTGGACCCTGAGGGTCAGATCAGGAAGCCAAAGGCTTAAGAGAAGTAAAGAGCCTGGCTTACTTCCTGACAGTGGTTGAGCTGGGATTCAAACTCTTGATTTTTGCTTCCCAGTGCCTTTTAGTCATTTTTGTACAGGGAGAAGGAACGCGCGCGCACACACACACACACACACACACACACACACACACCACACACCACACACCACACACACCACACACACACACCACACACACACACACCACACACACCACACACACACACCACACACACCACACACACACACCACACACACACACC